GACAGCACCATCCTCCTCTCTGGGGAATAGAAGGCAGCTGGTGTCTGTTTTCATCTACAGCCAATACATCACTATTGCCAGCTTCACTGATTCACCCTCTGTCCCCTTATAACATTTGAAATTTAGGAAATATTGGATTTTGTAATCAGCGGCTTGTGGGCTTTTGACAATGAGGCATTCACATTTGGGTGTGAAATTTACGCTTCTGTCTGTCTCATTGTAGAAATTACTCCAAATGTGGGATATCAAATGAGGAAATTTTAGATACTGCAGTATTTTCAAAGCACTAGAAATAGGCTTCTGTGGGTTGGTATTAAATAATTCTCTTCATGTGTCAATCCTTTCTTTTTATGTTGAGACTGTGCCTCTTTCTGTCTCTCTCTGAAACTTTATCTCCTCTCATTTTCTCTCTCTGCAGGCAGAGGCTTTGGGTTGAGTCCTGCTGTGTGCCTGGCCATTCGGGTCAACACATTCCTGAGCTGCAGTCAATATCATAAGATGTATCGGACTGTCAAAGCCACAAGTGGCCGCCAGATCTTTCAGCCCTTGCACACTCTTCGAGCTGCAGAGAAGGAGCTTCTCCCTGGTTTTCACCAGTTTGAATGGCAGCCAGCTCTCAAAAACGTGTCCCCATCCTATAATGTTGGCATTATTAATGGGCTCTCTGGATGGTCTTCCTCAGTGGATGACGTCCCAGCTGACACTATCACTCGGCGCTTTCGGTACGATGTGGCACTTGTGTCTGCCTTAAAGGATCTGGAGGAGGACATCATGGAGGGGCTGAGGGAGAGTGGGATGGAAGACAGTGCCTGCACATCAGGTTTTAGTGTCATGATCAAGGAATGTTGCGATGGCATGGGTGATGTCAGCGAGAAGCATGGCGGGGGACCAGTTGTTCCTGAGAAGGCTGTTCGTTTTTCTTTCACTGTTATGTCTGTCTCTGTCCTGGCAGACGATGAGGAGGAGGAGGTTACCATTTTTACCGAGCCAAAGCCAAATTCAGAATTGTCCTGTAAGCCTCTGTGCCTGATGTTTGTGGATGAGTCAGACCATGAGACACTCACAGCTGTCCTGGGGCCTATAGTTGCAGAACGTAATGCAATGAAAGAAAGCAGACTTATCCTGTCCATGGGTGGTCTGCCTCGATCCTTTCGCTTCCACTTCAGGGGCACGGGATATGATGAGAAGATGGTGCGTGAGATGGAGGGGCTGGAGGCCTCTGGGTCCACGTACGTCTGCACTCTATGTGACTCCAGTCGTGCAGAGGCCTCTCAAAACATGGTGCTGCACTCCATCACCCGCAGTCACGAAGAGAACCTAGAACGCTATGAAATATGGAGAACCAACCCCTTTTCTGAGTCAGTAGATGAGCTGCGTGATAGAGTCAAAGGTGTGTCTGCAAAGCCCTTCTTGGAGACGCAGCCAACGCTAGATGCATTGCACTGTGACATCGGCAATGCTACTGAATTCTACAAGATCTTCCAGGATGAGATCGGAGAGGTGTATAAAAAGGCCAACCCCAGCCGGGAGGAACGGCGCAGCTGGAGGGCGGCCTTAGATAAACAGCTGAGGAAGCAGATGAAGCTTAAACCAGTAATGAGGATGAATGGGAACTACGCCCGCAGACTAATGACCCAGGAGGCTGTGGACGTGGTGTGTGAGCTGGTGCCCTCAGAAGAGAGAAGAGAGGCCCTGAGGGAGCTTATCAAACTCTACCTCCAAATGAAACCTGTGTGGCGTGCCACCTGCCCAGCCAAGGAATGCCCTGACCAGCTATGCCGCTACAGTTTTAACTCTCAGCGCTTTGCTGACCTCCTCTCCACTACCTTCAAATATAGGTACAATGGAAAGATAACAAATTATCTGCACAAGACCCTAGCCCACGTACCTGAAATTATAGAGAGAGACGGATCCATAGGAGCCTGGGCCAGCGAGGGGAACGAGTCAGCAAACAAGCTCTTCAGGCGTTTTCGCAAGATGAATGCACGCCAGTCTAAGACCTTTGAACTGGAGGACGTGCTGAAACACCACTGGCTGTACACGTCCAAGTACTTGCAGAAGTTTATGGAAGCTCACAAGGACTCTGCAAAGGCTCTACAGGCTACCATTGACCCAGTAGAGATCCAGGATGATGATGAAATGTCTTTGGAAGTTCCTGATTTTTGAATTTTCCATAACTATTAACATTTGATTGATTTCTAGAGAATTGTACCATTGGTCAGTTATCTCTACATGGAAGTATTTTGACTTTCCAGAAAGCGAAGTCAGTCTCATTCTGCTTTGGGCAAGAGGCCAAACACATTTTATGTTGTTTTTAGTTTTTATATTTTGGAACTCAGATGCTTGTGTGTTGTTAGATATTACAAACAGATTTTGCTTGAATAGCCAGTGTTTTGCACCTGAACCCATAAATGAAGATTATTTTATGGAAAACAATGCTATTTTGCTACTTTTGATGTTTGTTTTTCTTTCTTTAAACATTTATTTGACTTCGAATTGCTTTGTTAACTGTTAGTTACTACACCACAAAGATGTGACGGCAGAGGCAACACATTTTTTTTCATACTCCTTTTCCTTTTTTTGGTTTATAAATCGACACCATCTGTGAAAAATGGTGCATTTTATTGTATTGCAAGGATATGACACATTTATGCATTTATATAGAGAGGATATTTATGGAAACAGATGAAAGCGCTGTAAGTCATAGAGAGAAATCGTGTTAAAAAGACCACATTTGTGGCCACTGTATTAATATATCATTTTAGCAGGAGCAAAATGCAATCACAGAGACCCAAATGTTCTTTGTTTCATGAGTGCCCTCTGAAAAAGATGACTTTAGTGCTTTATCGTGGGATCCCTGTGGGGCAGAATAGATGCCAGGTCACTTTGAACCAATTTTTATCTCGTTTACTTTTTGCACAGTGGAGGATAGATGATACTTATTTGAATTCTTCTCATAAAATAAAACATATACTGACCTTTTTGTTGATATCATAAAAATACAGTATGGTCCATTACGGTGCCTAATACCCCATGGACTCTCTAGCAGGCAGGGATTTTTCTTAAGTTCTATATATAACCTGGCTCTTTTTCTCAGCTGATATATCTTCACAGCTTCAGTCGTCAGGGGAGAGCGATGGGTGAGAGCCAGAGAGACCTGATGTAAACTGAATTGTTGGCAACTTTATTTGTTTGATTGATTGATTATATTGTCTTTTTCTGCCCTCACCATTTTGAATTGTGACAGGCAATTTTGTTTTCTTACTTGATTGAATGTTTGATTTTATTTTACTGTCATAAATGTAACCATATGACAGCTATGAAATATCCACATTTCATTGGATACTTGTCACAGTGCTACCATAACGCCATGTTTTGGAGTGCATTATATAGCAACTTGTCTCATATTTGTTTTTGCCGTAATGAATTGCATTTCCAAAGTAATGGATGATGGATGATTCACAAAATTCTACTTCTGTCATGTTTCACAGTGTATCTCCTCATTTTGGGCTCACATGCATAGACTAAATGTACAGTTTACTGGGACCGCACAATACTTTCTCTGTTCATTCATTTTGCATACACTAAAGTTCCACTACCTACCACTACCTTCAAATTATGTTATGCTGTATTTACTTATTTCTTATGTATTGTCATTGAATCAGACAACTTACCATCCTTTTGTGAAGTTTGTACTTTTTGTCTCTGTTTACATCAGATAATAAATAAAAACTGAAGAATTGTGATTCTTGTTTGCTTAAATTATTATTATTTTTGTATTTAATTTAATTTTGCATTAGTAACACAGAATTCAGCTGTAAAGTGTTAATAAAAAAACAAAACAAAATAACAATGATCTTTTAGAAAACATTACAACAAACTAGATGCAGACCTGAATGCAGAGAATATGGAAGCACTTTAAAAACTAAAGAAATTCAGTTGATTCAATATATATATATAGCTTAGACCATTTAACTGTTCACAGTTCTGATTACGTATTGTTTATCAATATCATATTTATGCTCATGTTTATATAACTCTGAAATCAATTTAGTATACTTACTTAATACCTACTTAATACTGAAAGCTGGAGTTAGTAGTCAGTATATTCCTCAAGAGAATGACAAATAACTGAAACTCACATATAACTGGATCATTTGATATAAAATGTACCAGGACAACAGTTCACATTTGATCCCTCAAAATTAGCTAGTATGCTTTGTACAGTAACTTTGTGTGTTTAATAAGATATTTAAAATTTTTACCTTCATACTATGAATATTTTCAGAGTTACAGGGCCTTAAAGTACCAAAAGGTGGGCTAAAATTTTGAGCTTTTTAATTCCCATTATGTTTTCTATAATTGATAAGACCTTGTAAACCTGTCAAGTACAAGAATTCGGATTGAGAAACATTAAATTGGTACAATAGCTCAAATATGCTGGAGAATATAATGCAGTAATTCAAAAAATAAAAAGTAAAATTTTAGACTCATACCTCCATAGTGTGACTACCTGTAACTGTGAAAATTTGCATGCCTTCATTAAACATGCTAAATTTATTGTATAGGAAATTTAAAACAGGGTCATTAATAACAGCATCAGGTGGGAGACACCGACTGTTTTAAACTGATAGGCTAATTAGAGTATGTCTTTTTAAGATAACAATACACCACTGTGAGGACACAAAATTACAGACTGAAAATCACAAATTTTATTAAGGATTTATCAGTTTTATTGTACAAAACACTGCAATAACAATTCAGTTCCATCTGCATCAGAAAGTGGGTCTGTGGTACTTAAAACGTACGTATGAAAGAAAGAAACAAACAGAATGAACCTTTTCACAGCTGATAAAGAGTAAAACTGCATTTTTGTTGCACAATGTGAAATAACAACAGAAACATTCAATAATAAAAGGAAATGTTGCAAATCTTCACAAACTGTAAACTGTTAATTTAACTCAAAATAAATCAAGTAGGTGTGAGTGTTTGTCTGTTAGTTCAATAGTCATGTGATCTAACTTAAACTTGGCTTGTGACTCTATTACGTTCAGTGAGCACTTCAAGGTAGTTTGAGGGATTTTCTCGATTTGGTTTATTAGATTACTGTTAGGGTGGAAAAAACATCCTAAGCATACAAAGTTTTCTTAACAGGCACACATCATATGAAAATCTGAGTCAGTCAAACAGCCGTCTGAAAAAGCTTTTTTTGGCAGGGGACATCTTGATTGTCAGAGGTCTTTTTTTGTCTTTAGCTTTCATGGTGATGCGCTTCAGTGGTATAATATGTCGAGGTGGGGTCATCTCCTGGTAGGGCAGGCCTCCGTGGTCCAAGCAGAAGTACTTCTTGTTGCCTTGAGAGAGTTTCAGCAGCAGGGTCTCAGACAGCTCCATGCACTTGGCGTGCACCCAGTGGCCCCCTTCCCCTCTGGAGCAAAAGATCATGGCTGGTCGGTGGAGCTCTGTGGAGTAGTATGGCTCCCATGTGTTGGGATCCAACTGACAGCCAAGGCAGCATTTTATCCAGTAACCTGTTTGTGATTCATCCTCTTCATCCTCTTCATTGTAAGCCTCCCCTTCTCCGTCGCTGCTGCCATCCAACTCATGTGGTTCACGGCCGAAGTAGAGCTCCTCAGAATCTTCAAGAGGAGTGGAGTCATCATAATCCGTTGACTCCTGGCTGCAGGCAAGGGTTCCATCTTCCTCTCTGGTCTCTCCCTCTGTCTGGAAGTTCACCTGGTAGAAGTAATGCATATCTTGTTGGGATGGCCTTCCCTCTGTGGGCACAGCTAGTAGGATGCCTCCCTCTCCAGAGCTGCCACCAAACCAAGTGCGACTATGGATGATATCTGGGGTCCACTTGGGTGTTTCTACGGGGTCAAAGTGGATTCCTTTCTCATCTAGAATCACAGTAGTGCACTCCATCCGCTTTTGTGAGTCTGACTGATATCCACCTAAGATGATGTATCTATGAGTGGGTCCCGTACGTGTAAAGATGGCACTAGAGATAGATAAACCATTGTCTAGGGTTTCACAGGAAAGCAACGGGCTGCCTTGCAAAAGCTCAACATGCAGGCAAAACAGACGCGGTGGACGTGAGTCTGAGGCTAGTGAGTGGCCTCCAATGAAGTAGACACAGTCTTCTCTAGCAAGGGCCAGATGGAAAGACTGTCCATCACTAAGCTCAGGTAAAGTGTGAGCAGAGCAGCAGCCAAACTCCAGGTCAAAGAGGAACACCTGAGGTGGACAGTCTACAACACTGTTCCAGCTCTCCGTGGTCCTCTCTCCTGAGGGCATGTAGGACCTACCCCCAAACAACACACAAGCTGTCTTCCCACGACTTTGGACCATGCTCATTGTGTGGCCATATCGAGGTCCTGGCACTTCTGCCACTAGCTCTTTCTCTGTGCAGCAGAGCGTTAATTTACGATTGCAGCCACGACTATCCATGGTCAACAGGTACAAGCTTGATGAGATCTCATTATTTGGAGTGCGACCACCGTGGATGAGGTAACTCTCTGGAAGCCCATCATAGGGGTCGAGGCGGCAAACAGCTGGGCAGCGTAATGGGGGCAGGTAGCACGAGTCATTAGAGAACGAGATGGCTCTCAGCTTCATCTCGCCATGTTTAAACCGTACACCAAATACTCCTGTTGGACACGAGCGCTTAGGCCAACCCTTCTGGCCAAACAGCAGAACTTCACCATCCAGCTGCAGCAGAGAGCAGCCGGGCTGCAGAAGGCCTGCACAGTTCACTGGAGTTAATGGCTGCAGGGTCATTTTCTGGCAGGTGTCTGTGTCAAAACAGCAATGAAAGACACAAACACAATGTGTAAGTCAGCTGTTGTTTGTGTTCATTCAGTTGGTTGTAATTGTTCTTCCTGTTTATGAAAGTAACGTGTAGACGAGCACAGCTTAGGTAATCATAATATGCACTACAGGCACTAAAATGTAGCATAGGGTCAATTATTTAGCCTTTTTACGAAAATCATGGCATATTTAATAGCTACCAACACTTAAATAGTGACCAGATACATAAAACAAAAGATATTATTGGAGTAATAATTATAAAAGATAAGTTGTAAGAGGACTCATAATATCAGTATTATACAGTTGCAGTGTAAATTATTACCATTAAAAGTGCTACTACATTTGATGTCTTCTAAGCCACTACCAATTTTAGCTCGCAAACTAAAGCAGCACTGCATTTTCTACAATCCTTTAACCATCTGCAAAAAATAGTAAAGGAAAAAAAAATTCCTCATGCATCAAGTTCACATTTAAGTTTGAAAAAGTGAGAAGGTGATTTACTGAGAATGTTTCTAAGAATCTTTTTAAAGTGTTGTCTGTAGTGTGAACATGATGAGCAAAGAGACCTTGAGTTTGGCATTGCAAGAGCACAGCTTTACTCAAAGAGAGAGAGAGAACTTGTTATTCTTCCATTAATGTAGAATGGATTTTAGTTTGCTTACCTTTGAGCCAGTGGCAGGATGCAGTGCTTGAATTTTCAGTGAATCTTATGATCACCAAGATGAAGTTAAAGTACTCTTTATGTAGCTGAACCTTGACAAAGGCAGACAGTGGTAGCGTTTGTGAAGCTTCGTTGACTCACAGACACTTCCAGATCTTGAGGTTAACAGTCTGTGACTGCTGCACACTGGCAGGTGTGATGCCTGAATGCTTTTAGTGAGACACTTCAGTGATATCAATGTAAAATCACCTTTGCAAAACCTTGGAAAATGCATAACTGTCTGCTATATGCAATTTGTGTCGCTTTCTTAATACATTTTTCACATTTTAGATCCAAAAGAATGGGGAACTCCTTCATTTGCTCTTTTTTTCACCATTTTCTTTAAGGAGATTTTTACACTAATTAAGAAGTTGTGTTGCAAACCTTGCTTTAATTAAGTGATAAAGACAAGATAAATCTTTAAACCTAGAATGGGCAACCTGACCTATACTGAGGAAATAAATGAATAAATAAATAAATAAATTAGATCTGCTCTCCCCTAGCTGGAAAACAAGCATCATTATATGTTTGAATTTTACTATCTTGACAAGACACGCCTCATTTTTTTTTCTTTTTTAATTTGGAGGATCGAAGTAGGCATCGCAAATATATGGAAAACCACTACATGTGTGCCATCTGTGGTGTAACATCTGTGACACACCCATCTGAGAAGAGACTCCCTAAAGAAACACACTGACCGACATGTGAAATAAAAGTTTAAATAACACAGTTTGAAATAATAGAGCTTGCCACCATGTTATCTTAATTACTGTAATTACTGAAGCAGATGCAAGCATTCAGTTAATTGCATTTAGACAAATCAAAAGTTTATTAATATGCTTCCAAGATTAACTAGGAAATTAATCCAGGAAATTGCAGATTACTTAAAATTTTATGATTATTGAACTGTGCAGTCCTAAAATAACGTATTACAATAACCAAAGTAGTTGAAATAGTCAGATAGTTAACTTGACATACGTGACTGAAAATAGCAGTTTTCTCACTTGTTTGTTCTACCAAAGCTTGAAAAACAGATCAAAGAACACTGTTAAACCCTTTACTTATTTATTATTTTAACTACAGAGAAGGTTGCTTAAAAAATGTTGTTGGCAGATATGTGTGCTTTTGTTACACTGGTATAGCATTTACAGCTCGACAACCAACATAATTAAAGCTTGTCCCCTGTGTTTTTCTTACACTTGTTACACACCAAACCTCTTAATTTTGTTATGGTTATGGCAAACCTTATTTACTACATAAAAAATGATAGAATCCTTCAAATATTAAGAGACTGCTGCAGGTTTGTTTACACACTCACCTTGCATATTTGAACATTTTGCTATACGTTTCTGTCTGCCTTGCACACATGCCATATAAATCAAGAGCTTCACTGGACACGTAACAAAATAACTCCTAAACCATGACCTTAAAAATCATTTCATGGCAAAGCTATTCATTTCACTGAACTTCTTGACATTTCCATTCACTGGTGAATGACATGCCAAGAATATGAGCCATTGTTTCACACAGTAGAATGAACCTGATGCATTAGCCTGCTATGAGACTGCTTCATGAGTGGGAGGTTAAGGAAAAGAGAAACAAAACATTCATCCTTCAGCAATGTTGAAGCATCATAGCATCTGGTTCAGTATAAAATTCTTTGCACATGCCTCTGTTTTAAAAATTTGACCTACTGTAGGTAAAAGCAGATTCTTTATGTGAGTGACAAACACATGCCTAAACGCCTAGAGAAAAACCGAGCTGGAAGCAGATGTCTCCTCCTCTCATTAGCATAATGTTTTTGTGCACCGAGTGGCTGAGAGAAAACTTGAGGAGTGTGCAAAACAAAGGCAGAAACCACAAGTGCCTGGAAGACCGTTACAGCTTGAAAACACAACACAGCAGAGCACCTGTGTGTCTAAACTGATGCTTACAGGGCTGAGTGGAAGCGAAAAGAATCTACTTTCATAACTAGAGACGATATAATACAATCAAATGTCAGTGGGATATGCAAATTGTTTTTTCCCCTCTTTTTTTTCCAGAACTGTTCCATCTGTATGAATCCAGCCTTGGAAAAATAAACTTCTTTTTTTTTGTTACCTGAAGGCATTCACACATACCAGTGTTGAAAAGCCTGCCTGCTATGTAACCACAGCTGGGATGGTGCCGAGAGTGTGTAGGAGGCACAGCAGTGTGTGGCAGACCCCAGGCCATGCAAGGATTTTGTGCATAATTGATAGAACAAAGTAATTAGAATCTATGCTAGCACCTGTTTTTGTCCCTTGTAATGTATCACTACCTGACTGTTGCTACCCTGAAGTGCGGTTTTGATGGATGGCGCGGTGACAGCTCTGATGTTCTGATGATCACTGTGCAGTGGTGTTTATCACTATTTAATGTTACAGCAATTGCTCCCCTTGTGGTGATTGGTGGGCTACTGAGTGCTGGCGGTACTTCCACTTGAGTCTGTGGTATGGTGGTTATCATCTTGCGTTAGGTAAAGCGTAAACATCACAGATCAATCTTGAAATTCGAAACTTTTGTTTTCACACAGCCGGCTTCTGCTCAGTTTCAAGTGGCAGCCTCAGGGGCTGAAAAATAAAGCCTATATGCAAGTGCCAAAAGTGAGTCAGTCTGCACATACTGCCACGTCAAAATGTCTAACTGTGCAGCCGAAATAAGCAGATTTACAGGCTGGTACAGAAAAATACTACCTACTCCATAGGGGACATTTTCCCTTTCCATGGGGTGATTTTTTTTTTCAAAAATTCAAATGTTTTAAAGAGTATTAAAACGTCGTTGTGCAGCTGTGTGTGAAACCTGGGAGAAGGTTGTTTTTTTTAATGAGAGTGCGCAGTTTCATTAGTTCAGTAAGTGCATTTTGTTTTGAGTCTCATTTTTTGCTCAAAATCAAAAGTTTGCATCCACTTTTGATATCACGGTGATGTGATTTTAGTGACAGTGAAAGACTTCCCAGGTCTAACCAGTGAAATATAATCATGTCAGACTTAAAAGATACTTACTGCAAAAATGACATGGGGGATTCCATGATTTCTGGAAAAGAAAGAAAGAATGAAGGAAAGAAAGAAAACAAAAGAAAACAAAAAACAAAAACACAAGTCAGTACCATACTGGTCTGATATACCCTGAAGTCTGTAGTCCTGTCAGTTTAACATTTATGAACTATAACTAATCAAGTTCAGGACTTGAAATGATATGCAAATATATTCAAAAAATTCAATTAATGTGCACAGCATTCCATTTTTCACATTTTCCTCTTCAGACACTCACAACCAATTCAAAAAATTCAAATGGTTTTACATGCCAGAATTACATCCCCCTTCCACTCAGTGCCATTTGGCCGGCCATTTAACTTCAATATTTATACATTTTTAAAATGCTGTCAGTTTAAATAAAGAATTAATAAGAATTAATTCCACTACAATAGATTTCTAAGGAAACAGTCTGATTGACGGCAGAGTTTTTCTGGTTTATGCAGAGCATGATCTACAAGGTTTCACTGTCTTTTACCCACATATGAATTTACTGAGATCAACAGTGTGAAAATCCTGACCTCTGTAATCTATTTTATGGCATCATGGACTGTAAGTTTTTAGAATGGTGCATCATTCATCATTTAAGAATGATAGAGTGCAAAGTGGTCAGGTTAGGGATGACTTTTTCACCTTATGTATGGTTTGTCCACTCTATCTGCCCATCACAACAGCTGCTCAATCACTTGCAAAAGACAACAAACCATGCACGCAAGAGACTCTTTCATAGCAAACCTTTCTAAATGTAGAATGTGGGAGACAGAAGCCCTGGCCCTTACATGCAGTTCATCAAGTTGAAATAAGAAACTTCAGAACTCCTATTTGTAGGGAATTCTAATGTAGATGATCAGGTTTGTGTTTTACAATTTACTGTGAGTCATAGGAAAAGTCTGAATCAGAATCCTTTTCATTTCTCCTTTATTTAGATTATTTAGATTTCACATGGAAACAACAGTGGTGTAATGGTGGATTAATTTAAAGTTGATTAACATTTAGTATTAATTTACAACCTGCATTAGAAACGCTTGTGTTGTAATATTAGGGTAAGTCCTGATTAAAAGGGCAAATCATAGTCTTTCCCTAACCTTAAAAACATATGATTGTGAAAGAGGTAAGTTGTGACAAGAGCACCGATTAGTATTTTCAGTCTCTTTCTTCTTACATATATGTTAACCATGTACATTGCTTTTGGTTATATTGTGTTTAAAGGTTGTTGCACTACTAACTCAAAAGATCAGTTGATGCAAATCTAAATGCTGTTAAAAGTTACAGATGACTTACTGCATAAGGCTGATGTTTTTAGCCTAATGTGTGGGTCAAAGAACATAAGCCCTGCCTCTTGTCTGGGTATAGTGTACAAGGCACAGTACTTTGACAACAGAGGAGATAGAGCATTGCTTTTAGCGTCCTCATACTCTGCCTTTTGCACTGGAAGACCACAATCAATCCCAATCTTGCTATTTCTGGCTACACTTTTCTAATTCGATGAATTAATGCAATCTCAGCTACATACATTTTTCTAGAAAACATGTTTGATTAAGCAAATGATGACAATATGAATTAATTTTGCAAGTGATAATGCGAGTCTCTTTCATGCTTAATGTTCCTTTCCTCCAAATCCTTCTTCTTTTGGAATCATGTTCTTGTTATTCTTGGTTCACCAAATGTGCCATTCTTCTGCTGTCCTCTTTCTAAGTGAGTAGCATATTACTGCCTTGGTACACAGTAGAAGGCAAACTCAGGGTCTTTATGTAGCCCCTCTGAGCATTTTTAGGTTTGCTTCATTTAGTTGTTTATGGGATGTGACTGTTGAATATGCTGAACAGGCATCCTAAAGCCATGTTTTAAATTGATAAGCTATCTTCTCCTGTTTCTCCCATCCCCCAGGAGGTAAGTGAGTAGACACAAAACTGTTGCCCTGCAACTTAACTTGTTCCCAGA